ATTGAACTGTAACATGTGAAATAAGATATGTGAAATATAAAATGTGACATGTGAATTATGAAATGGGACATGTGAAATGTGAAAAGTGAAATCTGATATATGAAATGTGGAATTTGAAATGTGAAATGTGAAAGGTGAACGGTAACATGTGAAATGAGAAATGTGAAATATAAAATGCGACATGTGAAGTGTAAAATAGACATGTGATATGTAACATGTGAAAAGAGAAATGTGATATATGAAATGTGGAATTTGAAATGTGAAATGTGAAAGGTGAACTGTAACATGTAAAATAGGAAATGTGAAATATAAAATGTGACATGTAAATTGTGAAATGGGACATGTGAGATGTGACATGTTAAATGTGAAAAGTGAAATGTGATATGTGAAATGTTGAATTTGAAATGTGAAATGTGAAAGGTGAACTGTAAAATGTGAAATAAGAAATGTGACATGTAAAGTGTGTGAAATGGGACGTGTGATATGTGACATGTGAATGTGAAAAGTGAAATTTGATATATGAAATGTTGAATTTGAAATGTGAAATTTGAAACGTGAACTGTAAAATGTGAAATAAGAAATATGAAATATAAAATGTGACATGTCAAGTGTGAAATGTGAAATGTGGAGTGTGTAAAAAGGGGAACCTCTTGCTTATGTCTGGCCAGCACCAGTACCAGCACCAGCACCAGCACCAGGACTCACCGGTGATTGCGTGTATGTCGGGCACTTTCTCGGGCGACAGATCGACAGCGAAGATGGCCTGCGTGACCTGTTTGGCGTCCTCGTTGGCCAGTCCGTTGAGCATGCTTGCAGTCGCCCGCTCGAACAGTTCGCGCACTTGCAGTTTCATCCACACCGAGCCCGACAACCGGTAGATGCCGACCACCTCGCTGCCCCGCTTGTCCACTTCGTCTACACACTTGCGCACAATCAACGGCAACGCGATGACACCATCCAGCTCGCCCAGTCCCGTCTGTTGGTACATGTGTTGCTGGCCGTGCCTACCGGACATCAGAGCTGTCGAATAGGCGCGCTGTCCGATGAGCTCAACAACCCGATGTTCCCGTTCCACGACCTGATCTATCCGCACGCCGAACAGGATCCCTGTCGAACTGGCCGCCACAATGGCATGTGTCGACTGACGCCGTCTGTACGCTTGTCCCATGGAGACAAAGCCCAACTCCAGGTAGAGCAGACCTTTC